CCCAGGCTCAGCACCCCCAGACTCAGCACCCCCAGGCTCAGCACCCCCAGGCTCCGCACCCCCAGGCTCAGCACCCCCAGACTCAGCACCCCCAGACCCAGCACCCCAAGGCCCCGCTCCCGCAGGCTCAGCACCCCTAGCAGCACCAGAGTCAACAGCTACCTCGACAGGCTCGACTGCGTCTACCTGAGACACACCTGAGGGGGCAGGACCCTGAGGGGGAAGGGGGTCTACCTGGGGGGGACCTGGCGCGAGGAAGAGCGGCGGCAGGGGGAGGGGCGCAGTGCGGTAGGGGAAGAGACGGTAGTAAGGAACCAACTCGTCAAACGTGACGTCCTGGGAGGACAGAACACGGCGCGAGGTGGGGTGGTAAAACTGCCAACCAGGCGCGTCAGGGGGGAAGCCAAGGAAGACGCAGGGAACAGCACGGGGGGACAGCTTGTCCGCAGACAAGTCGCGGACAAAAGCCCGAGATCCCCAGACACGAAACGCAAACGCATCGCCAACCTTCCCCGTCCACCGCAGAGTAGGGGAGGTCTCCGGCAAGGAGACTCGGGGTTGAAGGTTGATCTGATGCGCCGCGTACTGAACCGCGAACGGCCACAGAAAATGGGGAGCAGCCGCATGAATCATGGACGTACGAGCGACGTCCATGACCATGCCAATGCGGCGCTCAGCAATCCCATTTTGCTGTGGGGAGGCCGGAAGCGTGAACGTCTGGCGGATGCCCTGTGCACGACAGAAGGCTCCCAGAAGGCCAGAGGAAAACTCTCCGCCTCTGTCAGAGTGCAGACGCAGAACAGGAAAGTCCGAGCCGAAACTCTCTCTGAGCTGGAGACGAGCTGCGCGGATCCAGTCGATCAACACCTTAGTGACGTCACCCTTGCTGCGCAAAGGGAAAACCATGGTGTAACGCGAGTAGTCGTCAACCACCAACAAGAAGTAACGCTCGTGACCCAGGCCACGGACGCGCGCGGGGCCCCACACGTCCATGTGAAGAGTCTGCAGCGGAGCCTCGGTCGGAGGAAACTCTGAGGAGTGAGGAGCGGCGCGCTGCCGCCCCTCGACGCAGGGAACGCAGGTAGGGGCAGGCCCCGGAGGGAGGGGAGGGAGGGACCGGGGGAGACCAGAGACAAGGTAACGGGAGGCCATGCCTCGGAGACGAGGCAGGGAGGGGTGACCAAGGCGGTGGTGCCAGAGGAGAGTCTGGTGGGACAGGAGACGACACGAGGAGGGAGCAGACTCAGGACCAGACCTGGACGCTGCAGCAAACACCTGACCCGACGCAGCTACCTGACCAGACTCAGCAACCGGAGGAGACTCAGTAGTCAGTGTGTACAGGCTCGACCCCGGCTGACGGGTAAACGTGGCCAAGTGTCGGCCAGTCCGAGTACACGTACAGTGAGTCACCCGCTGACTCGCAGGAGTGAACTGGTCAACCCCCCCATCCTGTAGATCAGCACCACTCACCAAGTTCGTAGAGAACGAGGGGAGGTAGAGACCTGACAGGGTGCCAGAGGGGGCCGCCGGACACGGTAAGACAGTGGAGAAGTGGGCAAGGACAGGACCCCCAGAGGGGTCCGCCAGAGAGACCGCAACTGGCCGACTAAGCGGCGTAAGCGTGGTGCGGTCTCGAAAGAAGGAACGGGAAGCACCCGAGTCAAGGGTGAAGGTGTGTAAGGCCTGAGCCGACGTGGTACCTGAGAGAGCAGACTCACCAGCACCTGGGGCAGCAGACGCACTAGCACCTAGAGCAGTAGCCTCACCAGCACCTAGAGCAGCAGCCTCACCAGCACCTAGAGCAGCAGCCTCAATGCCCGGATCAGGCGGAACATACAGGTAACAGTCACCCTCATCACTAGTAGACACAACATACATGGCAGCAAGGATAGCATCATAATCCAGATCAAAGATAGCAACCCCCGACCTAAGCAGCTCACCCCAGCGCGGGATCTCAGTGGCGTCAGAGAACTGGAGACGCCAAGCGTCCGTCAGGCGGCCGAAGCAGCGCTGGGTGGTGTGCGGGCCACCGCACGGCTCACCAGTGCGGTCACCGGTACGCAGGACGTAGGCACAGGGACCAGCACCCCCACCCCGCTGACGCGCAGCGTACCACTCACGAAGCTGCTGGGGGGGCGGGGTCTCACGAGTGTGCTGCTGCTGCTGGCGCTGACCACCACCGAAGCCGCTCCGCTGCGCAGAGCCACCCCGACCAGCTCCACCTCCGCCGCCGCCACCTCCGCCACCGCCTCCTCCTCCGCTCCCACCGCCACTGCCGCCGCCGCCTCCGCCTCCACCGCCGCCACCGAAGCCCCCACCCCCGCCACCACTCCCACCGCCACCCCCATTCCCTCCGCCGCCTCCACCGCCACCTCCACCGCCCCCGCCAGCCCCTCCAGCGCCCTTGCCCCCCTTGCCCTTGCCGGTGCGGCGTCTCCCGCTAGGGGCAGACGCAGCGCCGACCGACTCGGTGCCAACGAAGTCGACGGCAGCAGCAGAGGCAACAGAGGGCAAAAGGGGGGAGGGGGAGCACCCCTCAAAGAAGGGGGCACGAGGGTCACCACGAGAGGCTCCTACCGCGACTATACTCTTCTCAGCTGCCAGGAGGCGCTCCTCGAGGAGGTCAACGGTGAGTGTGGTGGGGCAAACAGAGAGGAAGTGGTCCCTGACCGAGCGAAGGGAGTCAGGGAGTCGGGTGACTATGTAGTAGAGGGTGATGTACATGGGGGGGGGGGTTCTTGGCGCAGAACTCAGCAGGAAGTGCAGCGCGGTAGCGGGTGTCACTAGTGCGAAGGTGCGTAATGAGGTCAGCGACTGTGGGAAAGGCGGCGAGGTCAGGGAACAGGTACGGCAGCATGAGGTGGCTAAGGGCAGCAGTGGCAGGGGAAGAGTAGCGTGCGACTACAGCGTCGTACAAGGTCCTAGCACTCTTGTACTGACTGAAGTGCGCGCGCTCAGAGGACGGCAAGTGACTACGCACAGCAAGACGGGCAGCAGCATCGCGTGTGGCCCACTGTGAGCGAACAGTGCTGTCAGCATCGGCAGCAGGGGCAGCAGAGGCGCCAGACGTGAGATCGAACAGTGAGAGACCGTCTTTCCTATCGCACTGTAGGAAGAGCTGTAGATCATCGACCCAGACCTCAAAGTCAACAGCCCGACCCTCAGCATCAAAGACTAGAACGCTAGGGGTAGCCATGACAGCAGTGGCAGCAGGCTAGGGGCAGCAGCAGCAGTAGCAACAGTAGGGGCGCGGCTCGGCGGTGCTCTTACCAGGGAAGGTGGGTAGAGGTCCGCAAGTGGTGGGGCAGGGCCGAGGCGTGCCGGCAGGGACGGGGCCGCTACAGGGCGGCAGAGGACTGCCGCTCCTCTCTGCAGGGCAGGGCCGGAACGACGGCGGCGGCCCCTGCTGTCAGCGGCTGCGGCGGCTGCAGTCGGCGGCTGCGCCGGCGGCGGCCCTGGCAGTGGCGGCAGCAGCTGCTGCTGTCGGCGGCTGCGGCGGCTGCAGCCCTGGCTCTGGCGGCGGCAGCTGCTGCTGTCGACGGCTGCGGCTCCCGCTGCAGGGGCGGCGACGGCTGCTGCTGCAGGGGCGGCGACGGCGGGGCGGCAGGTCCGTGAGGGAGCCGAGAAGGGGCCGCGGAGGAGCCGAGAAGGGGCCGCTAAGGGCGGTGAAGGGGCCGCGAAGGGGCCGTGAGGGGCCGCGAAGGGCGGCGACGGGGCCGAGACGGGGTCGTGAGGGGCCGCGAAGGGCGGCGACGGGGCCGAGAAGGGGCCGCGAGGGGCCGCGACGGGGCCGTGAAGGGCGCCGACAGGGCCGCGAAGGGCGGCGACGGGGCCGTGAAGGGGCCGCGAGGGGCCGCGAAGGGGCAGCGAGGGGCGGTAAGGGGCCGCGAAGGGGCCGCGAGGGGCGGTAAGGGGCCGCGAAGGGCCGTGAGAGGGGCCGCGAAGGGCGGCGTAGGGGCCTCGAGGGAGCCGCGAAGGGGCCGCGAGGGGCCGTGAGAGGGGCCGCGAGGGGCCTCGAAGGGCGGCGACGGGGCCGCGAAGGGGCCGCGAGGGGCCTGAAGGGGCCGCGAAGGGCCGTGATAGGGGCCGTAAGAGGGCGCGACGGGCCGCTAAGGGCAGGGGACGCGACGGGAGGGTAGGCACGCGCGGCGCGACTCGGGCAGGAGCGAAGCGCGCTCCGGGCAGGAAAAAAAAAATCGATTTTCAGTGGTGGGCCCTAGGAACGTTCCCACTAGGGAACCTGCTCTATACCATGTGGAAATTACGAGGAATGATTGACTAAGGGAAAGGTTGGGTATTAGTACAAACCCTAGAAATGTGTTGTACCCCATATGTGCTACCCCACTATAGCCTACATAGGCTAAGTCATATAAGTCTGACAACTGCGACTGCCGTGAAGGAGCTCAACATTGTCGACACCATCGTGCACGGGTTTGCCTCCCTTCTATCCAACAGCAACGTCCAGCATGCGCGGTTCATGAATCTACAGCTCATCTTCTGTCAAACCAACCTGGAAGCCCAAGGCATCCATGCAGTTCGTTGGTTATCTCGCGGGGAAGCCGTGTCTCGTCTTCTGTAAGTGCTCCCGGCTGCCATTGTTTTGATGAAAGACCAGTCGCCGACGATGTACGAAGTGGCGACGTCATTCAAGTTTCACTGGCTTCTGTGGCTCCTGGCGGACGTCCTGTTCGAGCTAAATCAGCTCAACCTTCGGTTCCAGCAACGCCAGGTTAGTATGCGCTCTGTTTATGTCACAGTCACCTCAATGCTTGGTTTCCATATGAAATATCGTTTTACCAACACGCACACTTTGATTCTGTACTACGCGTGCGTCACAGGTGGACGTGACTCTGGTGGCACACCTTGCAGAGCAGACGCGGATGCGCCTCACCCAACGCTACCTCCGTGTCCCCGAGGGACACACATTCGGTCATGGCGACAAGATGCATTTGCCTGCCTTCATTCGTGCACATGGGAAGTCGGACCCGGACAAGCGGAAGATGAAGGTGGAAGGGGTCGATAGCGATGGGACCCCATCCTCTCATGAGTTCGTGCTCCACGAGCGACCACTGGCCGATGAAGACCCTGACGGTGAAGCGACGGCAGGTGACGCGACAGCATGCTACGAGCTGTCGACCAAGTTTGTGCGGGAGGTTGTCAAGCAGCTTGAGAAGCGCCTAAGAGATCTGTCTCACCTCGATGGCTCGAAGCTGTTCCTGTCATCGAAGTACCTACAAGATGATGACAAGCGTGTCGCGGCGTTCAAGCGCTGGCTGAAGCAGCTCCATGTGCTCTACCGCGAGTCCTTGCCAGGTTTGTGCGCTGTTGATTATGACAAATCTGTGCACACATGAGTGACACACCCTGCTGTAATAGCCTGCACACGGCCTGTTTCACATGATTTGTGCTCGTAAAGATCAACACCTCCCCCCCCCCCCCCCCTTCCCCCTCCCTACACTAATCTGCCGCTTTGTACTCCTTTGAGAATCATTCCCCCTATGCCTCAGGCTTCAACTACACGAAGGCTGTCGCTGAGCTCTGGATGTTTACATCGACCATGCATTCTCAGCACCATGACGAAGACTTTCATCAGGCGCTCAGCAACACTCTGCGCGACGACCAATGGCAGCGCTCCTACCCCAACATCATGCTCCTGTGGCAAGCAGTCACTGTGCTGCCCCTGAGCACGGTGGAGTGCGAGAGGGGGTTTAGCAAGCAGAACATTATAAAAACGTGGGGCCGGGGGGCTATCTCAGACACATCATTGGGACACCTAATGCGCTGCTCTCTCCTTGAGTACACCGTGGACTGGTTTGAGGTCGCACACATCTTCCATGGCGACAGAAACAGGCGGCCAATCCGAGACTTCACTGGCAGCAACCCAAGTGATACTCAGTTTAACACGGCAGCAGTCCCTGACACAACTGCAAGTGCAGACCAGCAGGAGGGACCCGAGAATGAGTGATGTGTTGTCTTGTTAGTGGTGGTTATGTTGAGTAGAGTTGCATGTAGGGAAGTTATTAGGTTGTGCCAGTAGGACTTTGAACTAGCAATCAGAATGGTTTTTTAAATACCCTTACACACACAGGGTACTGGCTAAAACACACTGACTAGCTCGGGGTAAAAAATTTCCCACACAGACGGTCAGGCAAAGGGCACTGGGGGACCCTGATATGGCAGGGTGCCCCAAAACCAATTTTGGGCCCTGCCTTACAGCCTTGACGTCAACACTCCTTACATCTCCACTCCTGCTCCTTCGTCCTCCCCTCCCGCCCGTGCCCTTTCTCCGCCTACCCTCTCTCTGCCAGACGCCACTACCGGTGCTCCTCCCCCCAAGGCTGCTGGGCTGAGTGGAGTATCTCTCTCTGCTGCATCTCTGCTGATGGTTGTGCTGATGGCGGGGTATGAGTTTCAAGCGTGCAGGCTTAGGCAAGCCAATGGGATGATTTTTGCCAAGTAGCCTAAAATGGATGCCTCTCATGAATCTTACCGTCCCAATGCCTTCTATTGTGGTTTGCATTACGAGTTGTTGCATTGTTTTGGGTTGCGTTGCAAATGAGTTCAACGAACGGTACATGCGAATCTTTTTTAGGGTATCGCCGTATAGTCACGCTGTTGATTGAAGATGCAATTTCTTTACTAGGCGAAGAGGAAGGGTTCTTTTGCAGTGCATGCATTAATTTTCAGGCTGGTGAGAAGAATTGAGTTTTAAAGCAATTAAAGCTAGAAACGCATTGTGGTTGTGGCTCTAATGTAATCTACTTTCCACAAGTTGACTGCTTTTTGTTCCACCCCACCGAGCTTGTACCGCGTATCCACGATGTTCATTCACCTCACCTCGACAACTGGTGCGCGATTTTTCAGCCCAGAGAACGCACCGCCTCACCCCACTCTTCCCACGCCAACCATGCTCGCAACACCGCGACTCTCGCAATCCCCGCCCGTCGCCTCGCTGCTCGTGCGCATCGCGCCCATGGCCACGCGCGCAATCAGCCATGGTTTTCATTTCGCTACTTCCATCCCGCCAGTCCGCAAAGCCCGCACGCCTCCGACCCCGTCCTTTTCGCGTTCCCCAGGCCCTCCGCTCCGCCGCTCCGCTCACGCGCGGAGTTTTTCCGCGCGTGCGCAGTCGTCGCCCGCGGAGCCGGCGGGTCGAGGCGGAGCGGACGGGCGCACGCGCGCGGGGGGCTGCGCGGGGTTGCCGGTGGTGCACCACGCGCTGTTCAGCGCGCCGCAACTGGCGCCGGGGCACCGGTTTCCAATGGGCGTGTTCGAGGCAATTCACGCCATGCTGCTGCGCGAAGGGGTGGTGCGCCCCGCGCAGGCGAGTTCGCGCGCAGTGCAGAGGCGCGGAGGGGGAAGGGAAGGGGGGAGGGGGAAGGGGGGAGGGGGAAAGGGGGGAAGGGGGAGGGGGGTTGTTGGGGGAAAGTTGATGGGGCCAGTGGGAATGTGCGTGTTGATTGGTGGGATGAGCAGTGGTACCAAGAGGATGAAAGTGACGTGATGTTGTTGTGGCTCATCTCTCACCTCATCTCTCAGCGCCTTCGCCGTCCTGCCTGCACACTTACTCCCCCCTCTCTTCTCCTCCCCCATCCATGTTGCTTCCCATTCCTCCGCCCGCTGTCATCGCTCTCACTCGCGCTCCACCACCCTCTCGCTCTCCAGGTGGTCACGCCACACCCCATGCCGCCCGTTTCCGACCTGCTTCGAGTAGGTCTGTCCCTCCCCTCCCTCCCCTCCATTCCCTCCCGTCCCTCCCTCCCTTCCAAACCCCCTCGTGGTCTTCCTCCCCCCCCTCCTCCCCCCTCCTCCCCGCTCCTCCCCACCCCCCCTTGGTCCATGTTTTGCTGGCTAGATTTCCTCGCCTGGTTGCTCGCTCTCTCCCTCCCCATCCCCCCGCGCTATTATGAATTCAGCAACCCCGACCACGCACTGTCAGCTCTCTGCACCGCCCCAAGAAGCGTCTTCCCCACACGCACGCCACACGCACGCCACGCGCACGCCAACACATGTCTATGGTGCATCAACACGGCATTCTACCCCCTCCCCCTCTCCACCTTCCACACCTTCGCCCACAGCTCTTTCCTCACCTCAAGTCCATCATGCACCCTATTCCCCTTCTCCCCTTCTCTCCACTCCACTCTTCTTCTCCCACCCTCTCCTCCCTCCCCCTCTTCCTTCCTCCCCCCCTCTCCCCTCCCCCTCCCCATTTCCCCCCTCCCCCCTCTCCCCTCCCCCTCCCCCTTCCCCCAGGTGCACTGTGCGCAGTACCTGGCGCAGGTCTGCCAGGGCGCGCTGCCCTCGGCTGCCATGCGCCGCATTGGCTTCCCCTGGTCGCCCACCCTCGTTAGACGAACTCTCGCCAAGGTGCGCTGGGGTAGGGGGGCAGGGGAGTTAGAGGGCGGGGCACGGGAGGTGTTGGTATGTGTGTGGGTGAGTGAGCTGCATGCGCGGCAGGGCGTTGGAGGGCGGCTGCTCCTGCGTGAAGCATGTGTGTGCAGTGTCTCACCTCCTCATGCTCCGTTGCTCTTCCATCCTGTCTCCCCACCTCGCTCGTCCCCTCCTCTCTTCCCCCCACCTCTGTCATCCCTTGATCCCTCCTCCCACCTTTCTCCTCCCCCTCCCCAACTCTCTCCTGCCTCTTTCCCCCCTCTCTCCTCCCCACTCTCCTCCCCACTCTCCTCCCCACTCTCCTCCTCCCTCTCTCCTCCCCACTCTCCTCCCCACTCGCTCCTCCCCCTTCCCCCAGGTGGCAGGCACGTTGGAGACGGCACAGCTGGCACTGGAGCATGGACTTGCATGCAGCACGGCAGGAGGTAGGCTGCACTTGTTGGGCGGTGGAAGGGGAGGAGGGGTGAGGTGGTAAGGATGCTGAAAATACAGCTGACTGAATGTGATTGATATTCATTGATAGCTTCGCAGGGGGGGCATGGCAGTGTTACAAGGGTGAGGGGAGAGGGGGGCAAGAGATCGGCACTCGCAGTGAGTTGATGTGTTGATTGACTGAGGTAGTTTTCTTTGGAGGATCATGAGGGTGAGTATGAGGCACGTTCGTCTCCTCCTCTCCCCGCTGTCTACCCCACCTGCCTCTGCGTGTTGAGAAGTGGAGTAAGTGTGTGGAGACGGGAGAGGGGAAGAGGGTGTTGAAGTCAGGTATTTTAGGCCAACTGGAGGGAGCACCCTGGAGGAGCTTGGAAGAAGAGTGGATGGGCTCGTGTGCGGGGCAGCTGTGCTGCTTTTGTATGGGCTGGAAAAGGTGGCTTGGCATGTGATTTGAGTCCAGAGGAAAGGGGGGTGGAAGGCACGGGTTAGGCAGTGAGGGGGTGTGAAAGAGCGGTCATGGAAAATGGTAAAAAGCAGGTCCTATCGAGAATTGAACTTGGCCTTTCAGATTCAGTGTCTGACGTCATAACCACTAGACCATAGGACCACATCAGCCATAAATTCTACAATTTCCCTAGTACGGCCTAAAATGCTACAGTTTCTGTACATGTTATCCAAACTACAAGTTCCTGGTCCGGACTAGGCTTGGTCCGGATCATCGTGCGGTTGGGAACGAACCACACGCCTGTGTAGAACTTGGGGGCTCCGTCTGTCTCCTCTCCCATCTGCCTGTCCTACCTACATGTACATATGAAGAGGGGAGAGGAGAACATGGTGCAGTTCAGCTATTTAAAGCTCAAGGCCCAAATTGTTCAACCTTACTAAGGTTGCCCTTTGGGTGGTGGGAGAGTAAGGTTGACTTTGTTGAAGTTGGGCTGTTTAGTTTCGCCCAGCTTCTCGCTACACCCTTAGGGTTTTCGCTGACTCAGCAAACCCCAGGGAGAAACTCGGTTTGGTTCTCGAGTCCCAAATTGCACTCACAATATTCTTGGTGTTTCCTTCTCTCCTATTCGACAAAAAAACTGTTGGCCAATCAAATTGCATCGCACTTCACGTAACCACAATTCGCAGCCAAACAACACTCAAAACATCACTTTCATCAACTTAAGTAATCTTGCCCCGCGCGCTCTGCAATTTCGGCCTTGAGCTTTAAGGCCGGCAGGAGGGAGCGCTTAGCAGAGCATGGGAGAATAATGAATGGGCTCGTGCGTAGGCCGTTGAATGGCGAGGGATAGGTGCAGGTGGTGGCAGTGCGGCTTTTGGGTGGGTTAGAGAAGAGAATGTGGCTTTGCATGTGATTGACTGGGTGGGCGAAACACTCTCTCTCCACATCAATGTGCACATATCTGTGTGTATGTGTGTGCATGTGATGATGTACGGTACCTGTGCAGGCGTGGGTGCAGGCACCAGAGTATGTGCATGTGCATGGCAAGACAACATACCCTCTCAGATGCACACCCTGTCCCTGCCTGCCATGCCAATGGATACAGTATGGGCGTAACCATTGTACGTTACCCTTGTCTCTAACGCCCACCTATCTCCAACGCCCACCCCGACCCGCCCGTTCACCAGGCACGCACCATGCGTTTCGAGCCCACGGGTCGGGCTACTGCATTCTGAACGACCTTGCTGTCATGGCCGCTGCCCTCACAGCCTCCTCCTCCCTGCACCCCTTGCCACCGCCCTCGCCACTGCCACCGTCGCCACTAGCAGCAGAGATTTCGCCAACCCAAGAAGCATCAGTGCAATCACAATCACAGACAGCATCATTGCCGTTGGTGTTGCCAGCGGCACCATCAGCAGCAGCAAGTGCAGCTGGTGAGGGCGAGCAGGAGGACGACGTGTGGAGAGAGCTGCTGGAGGGAGCAGCAGGCGGTGGGAGCGAGAGGGCGGTGATGAAGCGAGTGCAGCGCGTGGCAATAGTCGACCTGGATGTGCACCAGGTGATGCTCCCTCGGATCCCACTCGCTCCTTTTCAATCACCCCTCCTGCTCTCTCCTTCTGGCCATTCTTCTCGGCCCCCTGACCCCTGAATCCCCCTTTGCACCTGGTCCCTCCGTTCTCCTGCTCCAACTCCCCCCTCCCTTGAAGTTCCAGATTCTCTCTACTCTTCCCCTCCCTGTTCCCCTCCCTCCTCCCCTCTCCTCACCTCGCTTCCTCCCCTGTTCCTCCCTCACTCGGTCCCTTCCCTCCATACTCCCAACACACCCTCCCTCCGTCAATACGTCCTTCTCCCTTCCCTCCCACCAACCCCCATTCCCACGCACACCCCAACCCCCATTCTCACAGGGCGACGGCACAGCAGCCATGCTGTCTGCATGCCCTAGTGTGTTCACCTTCAGCATGCACTGTGGCGCCAACTTCCCCTCCACCAAACAGGTGAGATGAGATTTGAGGCGCCTCAACAAACCTTCAGCATGCATGCACTGTGGCGCCAACTTCCCCCCCACCAAGCAATTCACTCCCTCCCTCCCACCTGCCTGCCTGCCTGCCGCTGCCGCACACTGCTTCTCCTCTTCCCCCTCCTTCCTTCTGTTCGCCTTCGTTTTCCCATTAAGGACTGGACAGTGATGCATGGTGGTACTCCTACCAGGAGACGGCTCAGTTGATTAAGGGGATACTGAAAGGGTGGAATGACTGGTCAATCGACAAGTGGAGTGATTCCTTAAAGGGATCGTTTAAGTATGATGATAGCGAATAATTACCACTCTTACAGTCCACTCTCTCGTACATGGTACCTTCTCGTTACCATGTATTCTGTCTTGTAAGTTACTGAGGCCGATCTCAGCACGTGCCAACAAGGGCTATGATTGAGTCACTATTGAGTATTCTCAGAAGAGGTACTAGCATTGCAAGGAGCGTTGTGTAAAACTGGTGTTGGTGCCTCGTCTCCGTTCCTTCCCATGCACCCATTCGTTGACACATGCACTTTTTGACACCCCCTTGCGGAGCGTCTCTCCCATCCCATGCCATCCCATGCCATGCCATGCCATCCCATGCCATGCCATGCCATGCCATCCCATGCCATGCCATGCCATCCCATGCCATGCCATGCCATCCCATGCCATCCCATGCCATGCCATCCCATGCCATGCCATGCCATCCCATGCCATCCCATCCCATGCCATGCCATGCCATGCCATGCCATCAGAGCAGCGACTTGGATGTGGACGTACCAGAGGGAACGGGGGATGCTCAGTACCTTGCCCTGCTTGCTCACCACCTCCCCTCGGTGCGTCTGCTCCTGCTCCTCTGCTCCTCTGCACAGTTCTATGTACCTGTGTTGTGCGTGAGCGTGCACATGTGCTGATAGAATCACCTTTCCTTGTATCCCAACTTCACCCCCGCACTTGTGCATTCACATTCCCGCTCACCCACATTCCCAATCACCTGCACGTGCACCCGCATCTCCTCACCTGCAGGTACTCGCATCATTCCGCCCTGACCTTGTGTTGTACGATGCTGGTGTCGACCCACACAAGGGTGACGCCCTCGGCAAGTATGTGACTAGGTTCCTTCAGGTGCTGTACGCCGGTGCTGGAGTTTGCACCTATTCCATCATGAGCTTGGATGCTGACCTCACCTCGTGCTGTACGATGTGACTTTTGAGTCGACTCAAAAGTCACCTGGGTGCTGACCTCACCTTGTGCCGTACGATGTGAGATCTGTCTCTTGGTATCGACCCACACAAAGATGATGCTCTCGGCAAGTATTCCCTCTCGCCCTCCTGCCCTCCTCCCCTGTCTCTCTCGCTTCATACACATATGTATGTGTGTGTGTATGTATGTATGTATGTATGTATGTATGTATGTATGTATGTATGTATTTGTGTGTGTGTGTGTGTGTGTGTGTGTTTGTGTGTGTGTGTGTGTGTGTATGTATGTATGTATGTATATATATGTGTGTGTATGTGGATACGCACATGAATTTATATGTGTGCATTTGTGTTCTCTTTTCTACCGACCTGTATCATCTCAGTTTTCCACTCCGCGTCTCGCACTTCCACCGCGCATGTTCCCTCTGCCAATGCCATTGTTCCATCATCTTGATTAGAGACGCCTCAAAAATCCCCTCAGTCGGTGCTCTTGTTCCATCCATCATCTTGCTGTCTCTTCCCAACTCCTCTCTCGCCGCATGACCATGCCCCTGCCCATGCCCCTGCCCATGCCCCTGCCCATGCCCCATGCCCCATGCCGCGCAGGCTATGCCTCACTGACCAGGGCCTGTTTCGCAGAGACATGCAGGTGATGCTTGCTTGCTTCTCTCCACAGCCCTCTTGTTCTGAGACGTCTCATAACTAGAGACATCTTGTCAGCCTTCTCCTCTGCGCATGGCCTGATTCGCATGGCCTGATTCGCATGGCCTGATTCGCATGGCCTGATTCGCATGGCGTAACGCATACTCATCCTATCCAAGCCCCCAGCCAGCCTGTTTCTCTCCAACTCGGCAACGACTATCAGCCGTGCGCCGTCCATGCATCCCATCTCCCATCCTTCCAATTTACCCTCCATTCCCCTCTCTTCCTCCCCCTCATCCCACTGCCTTAACTGCCTTGCCCCGTACCCATTCGCTTGCTCCAGTGGCTTCAAACCTGCCCTTTTTTCCGTGACTCCATTCCGTGGCATGCATGTGCATGATGTATGTACATGGTGCATGTTACATATTACATGTTGCATGTGCATGGTGCATGCCCTCTGACATGCACGGCACGCCCACCATCATGTGATGGACACGTGTGTGGGCATGGGAATCCCAGTGGCCGCATACGTGGGAGGCGGGTACCACCGTGATCTTCAGGTCAGACGCGTCACATGTGCGAGCAGGACGAGAAGCATGGGGTGGGAAGCGCAGCATGGGGTGGGAAGCGCAGCATGGGGTGGGAAGCGCAGCATGGGGTGGGAAGCGCAGCATGGGGTGGGAAGCGCAGCATGGGCGTAAGGGTGAGGAAGAGCAGAGGAAGGGATTAAGCCCATCCACATGCACCGCCATGCATGGGTGCACCGCCATGCATGGGTGCACAGCCAATCGTTGATCATGTCGGAGCAGGATTGCACCATACCATCCACCTGCCTATGAGCTTCTGCCTCTCCCCTTGACCTCTGCTGTGCCCAGCTGGGCTAGGGGAGTACCACCCTGCTGTTGCTCATGCGAGAACGGGTTATCCACGGGAAGAACAGGTGGAGATATCTCTCACAGGTGGAGATATCTCTCACAGGTGGAAATATCTCTCACAGGTGGAAATATCTCTCACAGGTGGAAAAATTAGCCCTGGTGGAAATATCTCTCACAGGTGGAAATATCTCTCACAGGTGGAAATATCTCTCACTGGTGGAAATATCTCTCACAGGTGGAAATATCTCTCACAGGTGGAAATATCTCTCACTGGTGGAAATATCTCTCACAGGTGGAAATATCTCTCACAGGTGGAAATATCTCTCACAGGTGGAAATATCTTTCACTGGTGCTATCTGCCTCCCCATCTCTCACCGACATTAGAACATGTTGGCCTTATATTCCCAATAGCCTAATGACCACGTAATCATCGCCTTCCCACCTCTCACCAAGTACAGGTGCTATCTGCGTGACCCAGCAGTGCCTGATCTGCACTGCAAAGCATGCCCCCCGGCTTTCCATGTGCCAGGGCGGTCTGCTCTGCTGTCAATGCACCATGGCACAGCCTTGACGCCCAGGACAGTACACACATTCGCGCGATATCTTTCTGCAAGTCGCCAGCCCCCAGCCCCCAGCCACCAGGCCCCCAGTGCGCAGTCCCCAGGCCCCCAGTGCGCAGCCCCCAGGCGCAGCGTGCAGCCTCTGCTTGGTGCACTTGCACTCGTGCTCCTTCACCTCACCCCATTGCCCCGCTTGGACTTCCTAGTGTTTGCAGCCTCCCCAATAGCTGACAATTTCGTGCTCTTCCCTGCGGTCTGTTTTGTGTGCCGTAACACAGCATGTGTTGCATTTGCACGATGCACATCCTGGCATGACTCGTGTTACGTGTATCCACCCATCCATCCCTTGCTTACTCTACAGGTGCTGGCCCATCGGCACTGCCTCTTGCACCGAGCAGCAGCGGAGGCATGGCAAGATCATGGCTTGTAGCAACCAAGCGCTCTATTCTTGCACATTTCTTATTAGACCAAGGCTGTTTGCCCACAGGATTACAGGAATATACAGCCTGATTTATATACCGTAGGTAGGAGAAGGATATTGAATATTGATGTTACATCAGGGAACCTTGTAACATACTCTGCAAAAACTTATGCGATGTAGCAAAATTGGTCAGGTGAGAAGGGGTGAATTGCTTGCTGTCTTGAGTGCTGGCTGGCACCTAGCTACTATTTCTCCATGGGTGCATCCTCGCACTGCTTTACAGGTTCACCACACAGCAATTTATTCCCCGGCAGGAACGAAGAGTCAGGGTAAGTCGCCATGGTGTCGGGAATGGTCCCATCCAGCTGATTCCCCGCAAGGTACACCTCTTGAAGAGCTTCTGACAGCCCAAGCGCGGCGGGAATGGACCCTTGCAGCTTGTTCCACGAGAGGTCCAGCACGCGCAGGCTGCGCAGATCCGCGATTCCCTCGGGAATGGTGTCGTTCAGGGCGTTGTGCGAGAGAGAGAGGTGGGTCAGGAACGAGAATTCCGCAATGACGGTGGGGATGGCGCCCGACAGCTGGTTGTACGACAGGTCCATGCGCTCCACCACGCCCGCGCACGAGTCCATGCTGGGAAGATCGGCGGTGAATCCGTTGTTCGCTACGATCAGCTCCTTGGGACAGTTGATAATATTTGGCAACTTGCCTGGAATATGGAGGTAGGAAGGGAGGAGTGGGCGGGTGGATGGGAAGGGGAAAGTAGATTTAAATGCGCGTGTATGACACTGTATGGGCGGAATCTGGATGGGCGCAAGGCATTCGAGATACTCGAGCACACGTGGAAGTGACGGCGTGACGTCAACTCTTGAGTGAAAAACATCTGCGGGTAGTACCGCGCAACCCGTGATGCTACACGTCACACGCACTCACCCGACAGCCTGTTGCTGCTCAGGTCCAGCTTCAAAAGCCCCGTGCTCGCCGTCACCGCCTCTGGCATGCTCCCAGACAGCGCATTCCGCGCTAGCACTAGCCGCTGCACGCGCGAGAGGTCGCTTATCTTTGCGGGAATCTTGCCGGACAGATGATTCCCGGCGAGGATCAAGCTGCAGAGGCCTGTGAGCGCCATGAATTCATCCAAGCCGCCTTGCAGGTTGTTGTAGCTCATGTCCAGCACGAGCGTGGACGCGTTCTGGAACATGCGGCGTGGAACGGAGCCGCGCAGTTCGTTGTGCGACAAGTTGACGTCCATGAAGTTGAAGAGCGTGGCGAACGGCCGCAGGTTGTCGGTGCTCAGGCGGTTGTAGCTCAGGTCCAGGAAGAAGCGCGTATCGTGGTCGCCACGCGACGCGAACGCGCCAACAGCCGGTCCGGACAGGCGGTTGTGCGGCGCGTAGAACGCATCGAGGTTCGTGAGCGCCTGGAACGCTGTGGGGATCAATCCGGTCAGGTCGTTAAAGCCCAGGTCGATGTAGCCATCGCGGAAAAGGTTTTGGGCCCGAGTATCCGAAAACGGGGTAATCTTCCGAAATGTTGCGGGAATGTATACCGAGGTTTCCAAAAAACACCCAGGGCAATCCGCACCCCTAATCCCACACAAGGGACTCGCCACTGCCGAGTCGCGCCTCCTTGGCGGGACAACGAATGTCCCGCCAATTCCCTCGAACAACGCAGCGCACATTGCAGGCATGCAGCGGATGCGCGGCCCGGACAACATGTGGTCCAATATACGCGACATTGCATGTCCAACTGCACACCAGTATTGGGCGCCCTGCAGAACATCTGCCCACAACACTTACGAAGTGCGTACACCACTTCAACACACACTACACGAATTGTGCATCCAAAACTTCATCAACACGAACTCAGGTAAGCAAGTACACAAAATAACAATCCGTCAATTTAGAAAGCTTGCTTTCTTTCATGTAGCAATGGCATCGTCTCATTTCAAATGGGTGGATTAGTGCTCCCGCGTGGTTGTCTTTCTGAAACGGCGTGGGGGGCCCATGCTTCCATGGCATCCAATAGCCATTTAAAACCACCGAGAGTATGAAGCTACTCTCGCACCATGAGCTCCACCAAGGAAATGCTGCGCGCAGGCGTCCGCGCATGGTCGTGACGAGCTTGTCGGTGATCGCGATCTCGTACGGGTCATACTCAACCATCGAGCCGATACCCGGTGTATCTGTGGACCATGGGGTTCGGGGCAGCATGGGACATGCTTCGTTAAGCAAGGTATGCGGCAATGTAGGTCCCCCGTGAGGTTCTCACTCTCGCTCTCTCTTTTTCTCTCTCTTCCTTTCTCTCTCGTTGTTGTTGTTGATTTTTTTTTTTTTTTTTTTTCATGAGTCCTTTTGCCTGATTGCATGCACTTGGGTGTTCCGCCCTGTGCCTAACATGTGGTGCTCGTAGGGCAGCTCCTTCTTTTGCTCGGTGAGCTCATCACGGTGAACATCTCACTCGCGCTCTTCCTTCCTTCCCCCTCTTTTTGTTTGTTTGTTTGTTTGTTTGTTTTTTTTTTTTTCAGAGGCTTGTGGCTGCTCCCGTTGCAGCTTCTTACACACGTTGAAACCAAGGGCCTTAGTAAGTCACACAAAATCACCGTTTTCACAAACATAGCCCATTATGCATTCCGATCCCTCAATAATGCACACAAGAAATCCACCATTTCATTAAATGCTTTACTCTAGGACTCCTAGTCCTATCCCCTTGCCTTGAGGTTGGCCCGCGGCCATTCTACCATCCCCTACGGGAAAAACGGCCAGCGGCCTTGCACTCCCTAGTGCTACCTTGATCATGCCCCTCGACACCGGGTGATTGCCCTTTCGGGAGTTCACACCACCGGTGCGGGCCCTTGGGCTCCCACCCCATTTTCAGGGCAAGCGTTGGCCATGTGGCCCGGCTGCCCGCAGCGGTAGCAAGAGCCTCGAAAGCTCCTGCCGTTGCCATCACTTGGCGGGCCACGCTTGTTCCCAAAGGCCATGGGCCCACGCCCTCCGCCGCGTGGGGCGCGATTGAAATTTCCTTGGGCGCGCTCCAAGGCCGCTACGTCCGTGACGGCCTGCTTGAACGGGCGAGAAGTGAAGACACTCTTGTCTTCATAGAGCTTGAACCTGTTTGCGGTGCGGAAGTTGGTGTAGTCGGCGACGTGAAGTAACTTGAAGCGGTTGGTGATGAGCGTGAAGGCTTCGCCAAGGAATTCGAGGGCGCTTGCCGGCTCGTTGTGCCGCACCTTGTGCTCTGCATGCTTCAAGTACGCCCGCAGGTGTTCCAGGACCTCGGCTTGCTCGCGCACGGCGGCGTTCTTGAACGAGGCGGCGGTGATGGTGGGGTTGGGAGAAGGGAGCGGAGGGAGTTGCTCATCGGATGCAAAAGCGACATTTATAGCATGAGCCTCACCGTCTTCGTCTTCTTCATTGTCGCTGTCGGTGGGGTTGTTCGTGACTGGGGTCGCAAAGGCGCGTGTGTCTTCGCCCCTCCCAGTTTTTGTCGTGCGAGCGCACTGCACGGACTCCGTTTTCGCCTTTTCGCCTTTAGCAGAAACCGAAGTTGCGTTTGGTGTAGCGATTTCTTCAGTAACAGCAGGGGTCTACTGCTGTAACAGGGTCAGCAGCTGCTGCAGTTGGGCTGCAGTGAATGATGGCGCCACTTGCGCGCCCGTCGCCACTTGCGCGTGAGGCCCCACAGGTGCGTCAGGGCCCACAGGCGCGTCAGGGCCCACAGGCCTGCGTCGCTGGCGCGGACGCGGGGTGCGAGCCACGCTGGTTGGTGCCGATTTGGCGCCTTCTGTCGTGGCCGGCGCGTCAGGGGCCACAGGGGCTCGAGGCACACCAGGGGCGTGTGCCTCGACACCAGCAGCGTGTGCCTTGGTCGCGCCCAGCAGGACGTCGACGCCAGTCGGGGAAATTTCCCCGTCTTCTGCCCGGCGCTTGTTTGGGCGATCGCCCGCGATTTCGCGTGCGTTTCTTGCGGACTCGGGTCGAGTGGGGGCCGTAGCGGTATTAGACTCCCCGCCGTTAAGTGCCATAGTTGTTGCGTTGTGCGCGAAAATGTCAGAGAGTAAAGTCGACGGGGATTGAAAGCGAGGAAGAGACTTGGTCCTCGCCAGCTTGAGTGTGGGAGACGAAAATCGGCTAAACCGTTTGAAAATGAGAGACGTGGGTGGAGGGAAATGACCTCCAGCCCACGTTTTGTACTCCAAAACGGGCGTTTAGCGCGGTTTGTCGCTGCCCATTCCTACATTACAGACTGCTTCGCTTTCAAAATACGAAATTTTGAAAAGCGTTACACTTTTAAAAATATTCATAATAACACATAGCCCTACCACTGGTGTCTTCCCTCTCAGCATCATCCAAAGCTGCCTACTCTAACAACACATAAAACCACCCTACTCCACTCCCAACGACACACCGCCAACAGCACTACCATCTCAGAGGATTCCGCCAGGCATACCATCGTCGCACACCACACTATCTTCCTTCCCCTCGGCCAACCCACTAGGCTGGCCGCCTGCCGCACTTCCGTCACGAGCACGCTTCGTTGGCGTCCTTCGAAGGCGGCTTATCACCTCCTCGTTATGCGCGCCCATGGCTTCGGGCACCTGGCACACTGGTATGCCCAATTTGTCCGCCTCCTGACTGTACTCGCCCGCCACCATCCGCACGACCCTTCGCCGGCTGCGAACGTCCCGATACAGTGGCCCTTCAGGGATACAAAAATACGCCGGTATCTCGTCTTGATCCTCCTCGTCCTCCTCATCCTCCGCCTTAATTACGCCCCACTTCATGAGCAGGTCCTCGTCGCAGCCCACAAAATCCCACGAAGTCATATACATACCAGGGGCCCTCTTAAAATTCTCAATAGCCATCTGCAGCATTGTCAGCTCGCTGACAATGGGCTCGAACATCAAAGCCGCGCCGGCGTCATCCAGGCGCTTCATCAGCGACACCCACGCCGTCGGCACACAACCCGCGCGCCACCAGCTCCTCTGAATAGCCATCGACGACGTCAATTTGCACGCCAGTTCCAGCCTCTTCAGCACGTCGGGAAGTGACGGTCGCGGTACCTCCCCCTTCTTCTTCCACTCGTTGCTGTCCATGGCGTCCTTCATGAACCAGTATCGGTGTATTGCCTTGACCGTGTCCACCACCCCGGTCGTCGACGGGATGCTGCACCGGGGGGGCCCGCCATAAAGCTGCACCACCTTGACACTCAGCAGATTCTGCGCCGCAAACCCGGCAACTGTTTCCGACTCGAACACACAACCAGTAAGCTCGTGTTTCGGATCGTACACCAGAACAATTGCGCGCTCGTTCTTTGCGAATAGATCCCCGTCAAACTTCACCATGTGCTCCGTGAATAGCTGTTGCGACACGACGAAATCAACACAATTTACGTAATCAGCACCAGCCTAATAACAAAGTGCATTTGTGATTACATTCCAGCAAACCGCGCCGATGCTCACCTCAGAGGACATGCGTCCGTTCTTTGCGTAGCGCACCACGACATTATGCTCACGACGCCGCCCATTGTGTACGGCCCTGCCATCATCCCGCCTCAACACCACAAGCGGATGACGCCACTTGGAACCAGAAGCGTTGACCAGCAAACCCACCGTCATATGCCACTCGCACGCGATACCGAACTCTGCGTCCATAACAGACGAAACCGGGAGCCTCGTAGGTATGAACGGGAACTCGGAGAACAAGTACACATCGTCAGGATGGGCTTTGATAGCCTCCAGGAGAGCCACTACCGCCGCCATGCTGTAGTATCACGTCTGGCTAGCACAAAAAACGCAAACTTGATATCCGCTCTGGTGCTCCTCCAAAACCAGGTGACGAGTACTTAGACTGTATAGCCGAGGTTGAAACGATGAAGGTACGTACCAAGCCTCCTCGCCTTATCCCGAACTACCAGAGGTACGGATCGACATTGGCTCCGTAAAACACACCACCTGTCACATCAACCGCTAGCCGCACACGGTGCGCACCACGGATTTCATTGAACGATGACCACATACTGTACACATCACCGCCACAAGGTGGCATTATTTCAGTGGATCCCCGCACGCACCAATGGGGTTCGCCGATCCGCTCCGGTATGCACAACCGCGCTTAGCACCAATGCACACCGTTGTACAGTGACCGCACAGCGAAGTCCAAAAAATAAAGTACACACGAACAAAAACGCGTACACATAGACGTTCTCTCCCGACTAACACCCCGTTAATACAACACTGCATGTCTGCATACTGAATCAAAACCCCGCAGTGCGTGCGACACACAACATTCAAACTGCGCATAACAGAACTCTTGCCATAGGGTTACAGAAACACACACCAACCTACACAATTAACCAACAGTCCACGACCACCAATATTGTTTAACAAGGACTCTACTCAGCATGGTTTGTGTGTTTAGGGTGGCAGATCACCTTCCCGGCGCTGATACTCAAGCCAGCACCACGCCACACAGCATATTAGCCACGGTTGTAGAATTACCCCACACATGAACCCCGCTCTGACATCGCCACCATCAGAACATGTGTGTCATCCCACAGTCACTGTTCCGCCGACCAGATCACTCGATCAGCAGAAACTTGTTCACCAGGAGCACCTTGGGGTTGCTGAAGCTCCGACAAATGTGCACCACCCTCAGAATCGTGGCCACCTCCACCACAGCGAACCTCGTCTCCTTCCGGTGGGGTGTTAGCTGGATGCATGTGGTCAGGGGGCAGAGCCCAGCCTGCTCAAAGTACCGCACGTACATGTAGCCCTTCGGCTCCCCCTCATCCCCAGCCGCCTTGAAGATGCACAACACCTTGGCAAACCACTCCCCCCCCTTAGGCGACAACAGTGCCACATCAGAAAACCACTTCTCCCCCGGGCTCGCTTTCACAAACGTGCCCTTGGCCACCAAAGCCCCCCCACGCGTGCGCGGTATCGCCACGGCGGTGTGTGCCTGTGGAACACGGATGCGGGATGCGCATGATCAGTCACCTCACGTCTCAATGTCGCAATCTCACCAGCAAACCCCGCAATAACTTCCATACCTGGACGCTCTCCGCCTTCACCCCTGCCGACCGCATGCATCCCACTAGATCCTTCATGTCGTCACCGTGCGACACGTTGTACATCGCCAAGACGGCATCATCCTCCGCCCCAGGCACCATGAGCCTCCCCTTCCTCGTGAGGACCGGCTTCTTGGTCCGCACAGCCTGCACATCGGTGAATGCAACGTTCATTACCACCAGGCCGGATGTGGCGGCATTGTGTGTGGCCTCCAAGGGAACCAATCTCACAGACCGAAATGCACCCCTACCTCTCTGAGAGCAGTGGTGTACTGCCACCCGCCGCCTGCATCAGCCGCCACCTCGCGGCAAATCTCACGTTGCACCTCCTCCTCGACTATCCTCCGGGGGATGTCTTTCCAGTTGCCGCCTCGCACCGGCACCTTGACCGTGCCCTTGTGTGTATGCTCCCACAGCTCCGTGTTGTAGTGGTGGGGCATGCCCCTGAGAATCACATTCTCCAGCAGGTGCTTGATCATGTGCACCTTAGGGAACCGCCATCCCGACTTCTGATCGGGGTATGCTTGTGGGAGAAGGTCGACCAGCCTGCCCAATCCATCGCACCAAGAGGTACAGAGGTGTAAATCTGAAGTCCGTATGTCCTTCTAGTGGCGCAGGAGAACAGACATATGCAAAGGAGGCAAGCGGTGCTCACTTGTATGCGAGCTCCCTTGCGTGTGCGAGTGACGCCCTCGTGTGACCATCCACGCCAAGAAAGGCCTTGTAGAACGTTGCGTATAACCGGAAAGCACGCACCCTCATAGCCCTCAGCTCTGCGTCCGGCCCCTTCCCAAGCGCCCCCTTGTCCGGCACCAGAATGGGCATGACTTGCATCATGGCGCGGTGCTCAAACGCCGCGTAGTTGGCTCCACTGGCCAGATAAGAGGTTCCTCCCGGTAGCCGGAGCACTGTACTCGGAGTCTCTGTCTTTGTGGTCTTCTTTCTCCTGCACGGAAGGTATGGGTAGCACTGCAGACAAGAGGTATGAGGACATGTCACACACCAAAGCCATCTTCAGAAAGTCATATCAAACCCATCGCATGCACGCACCCCTCCACCACGCGCCGCTCGGGCTTGCTGAGAGTGTCGATGTGGCACTCGATCATGTGCAGAGCAACACCGGAGTCCAGCACATGTATAGTGTCAGCCACGCTTGCCCCGTATGGGTTTCCCCACTCGGTGTCCGAGAAGTTCCACCTGCTGAGCACACACTGCACGTGAAGACACTCGTGTAACAAAGTCAGTAACGGCCGTAATGTTTTGCCTGCCACATGCACATGCGTTGCTGTGCGGTATATCGTGCAAATCACCTCAATCGGGTGTGTTGACCATTCCGACTGCACTTTCTCAGCCTCCTTCACGGTCTTGCAAGCTAGAATCTGCTGCACCGCGTGCTCCTGGGAAGCAGGGGTCCTGATGGTAGATTGGAGCTTGAGGTTTGCCAGATCAGCCTCATCCACGTAGCATGTGGTGCAGGGTCTCTTGGTCCCGGTCTGCATGGTGGCAGTCGCACGACATGCTTCGATGAAGTCCGCTGGGTAAGCGTAGTAGCAAGGGACCGCCTTCACAAGTTCCCCGTTTGCGTCCGGCACGTAGAAGAAACGAATGGGACAGCTGGTTCAACAGGCAGTTCCACGCAGAGTTGTAAGATCATCACCAAGACGCCCGTCTAATCTGGGACGGCACGGTGCGCAGACACACAACGACTATCACTGCCCAGTAGTAAACAAACGCACTCGTCTCGGTCGTCGGTGCATCGTATATCCAAGAACACATTATGGACTCACTTTGCCGACTCCCGCATGAGCGGTGCCAATATGATGCGTATGGCCTCTTGGAAGACCCGGGCCTTTTCTGTAGAGGTAGCCCACCCGGGAGGAAAAGGCAGCACGGCCGCCAACACGTGACCAGGCTCCGTCCATCGCAGGTGCTCAGGAATGTTGAACAGTGTTATGAGTACTGGCCACGCTTGCCGCCTGCCGTTCCTTGTTGCGTTCGTGCCATCGCTATACACAATGACACCCAACACCCATGCTTTCTCGTCTTATATCGCTTTCTGCGCTCAAACAAGGACGGCCAGGTATTGGCCTCAGCATTACTCATCGATATTGGGACGCCAAGCCCCACAACGTCAGCCCACAACACATCTTACCTATGCTTCCTGCATCCACTTCCCAGTCTCGGGGTCGCTGAAGCGCCGTTTGCCTGTGGTAGGGTCCAGCTCCGTCCTCGCTTTGGTAACGAAGCCTGGTACAGCGACGAAAGTTCGCACCAACTTCTTCACCAACTGCATGTCATTGCGTTCAACGTTACGGGTTGCGGCGTCATGTTTAGGGTGCAACGAATGTGGCCGTTATATATTTGGAAGCTCGTCCCTAACCTTACCTGCTCCGTGTCGCGATAATGTAAGAGCAACTTCTGGACCTCTCCTTTAGGCCCGCGGACAATAATCTCCTCCACAAGCCACGGAACCAGGTCCGTGGGCGCTCTCGCATTAGCCCATCGTCGCACATCCAGAGCATTACGCCAGCGGCGGAGAGCGCGGAGATTGAAGCGAGGGTTGCGGAAGATGTGCAGCAGGCAGTTTACTTCGCACCGCGAAAGGTCGGCATCGCGGATGAACAGGTAAATAGCAGTGAGCGTGTCAAAGACATTGCTGTCCTCGCTTTGATCACTACATGTGGACTGCGTCTCATCGTCTACCGTCCCTTCATCACCTGCTGTCGCTTCCGCCACCTCGTCAGCGGCCGCCACTGCATCGTTAGCTAGCGAGTTCGGGCTAGACGTCTCGCCACGGCGCCCTGCGGTACGCGCGGTAATTGCCGCGTAGGCCTCCAGATAGGCCTGAGCTAAGCGGGCGTCACGCTTGCCGAGGATGTTGCGTCTGCACTCTGCGCTCTTTGCAAGGTGCGACTGAAGCGCACAGTCATCCCGAAGGACACGCGGACAACCCCTGCAGCGGCAGCCCGCCATATCCGTAACACGGAGCCCTAAAAAGTCCGTGCACTAACGCATGACGCAGTGGACACTGGGGTGGGTATCCACCCCAGTCACAGTCACTGGCTCAACCTCACCCTGGTGTCGTGATCATGATGTTGCTATCAAGGAGAATACGTATGACTGTGTACCGAGTGCCACTTTTGACAATACAGGAGAGCTTCATGTCGGATCTAGGCTGGCTACGTCATGCACTGCCTGGCACCATCGTGTGTGTCCCCACAGCTGCCTTGAGGTTCGCTGTGTTGTAATTGCACATACTATAGTACTCTGCGAAACAATATGCTGTACACATGTGGGTGATGTTGGACAGTGTGTGTGGATCGACATTACAGTGCGTCACTCTATGTGGTACGCATTGAAACATGAGTGTTTAGATTACAGTAGGTACAACATGGCGCACAGATGGTCCCAGTACACTCGTGCACCAGTTTAACGCAAACGGATTTCGCCATAGATGACGTTTGGATCCCTAAAAAGCACATCTCGGCCTCTCGAGATTTTTCTTGCCAGCAAGACACGGCCGACGTTGACACATGTCACGTCCTGGCGAATTCCCGCCCAGCTGCATGCAGATCAGGTAGCTTCGCCCATCCTGCTCGGGCCCGAAATTCCCAGGCGACATGACGTTCCATTTCGCATAGAAAGCCAAGTATGGGTACTTGTCTTATGTGTGCTCTGTGTTAGTTCTTGTCACACTCCATCCAATGGTGTCCAGACTTATGTAACGCCCTCCAATGACGCAGCATGGTCGTGGAGGTATGGCGCGAGACAGGGTAGGTGCTAAAAAACCACGTGGCGGTACGGACAATGGAGACGTCACAGAGGTGCCGGCCTCTGCGCGCGCACCGCACGGTTCCGCCGTCACAAGGGCGACTCGAAGTACTTCCCGCACGCAGCAAGGATCCGTGGATCGAGAATCAAAAAGCGCCGCTAAGAAGCTCGACCTGCCCAAGTACAAGACGAAAGTTAAAGTGAATACGGTGGACCCCGAACCAGATGACGTCGTTGCCCGCGTCGTCAGAAAGTGTAAGGATGTCTCCTTCACATCCATGTCTTTGAACAACCGCGCCGGACAGTCGTGTGTCGTCACCGCCAGAGATCTTGTGACCATCGCGGATGGTCAGTGCCTCACCGATCCGATAATCGACTTTCACAACATGTGAGTCTGAACAGCGCTGGTGAAGCTCGTCGCCGTTAAATACGTCAACTCACCTGGGCGTCCGGACCCCCTCTGTGCAGATTGTTGAGCATCGAACATCCACGGACCCCTAATGGCAAGACCTGGGCGGTTATGGACAGCATGGCGTATCAGTACGTCACGGGTTACAACAAGCCGTTCCAGCACGGGAAGGGGGATGGTCTGCTCGCCGTCGATTATATGGCCATACCGGTTTTCAAGGGGTGAGCTGCGTGGTGTATAGGCTGCCACGTCTAAATTGCTGTGTCGTCTATGTCCATAACCCGACGTAGTGTCCTCCCTGTTCCACAACTCCATCGACAGAAACCACTACTCGCTCATCATCGTGTGCGATCCGGCGAGGTTGTGGTGCAAGGACGGCGAGGGCTCAGGGGACAAGCTGCAGATGGTCCTGTTCCACAGCGAGGGCGCACATGCCGGGGATCCAACCGTCTTTGATGGCGCGAAGCTGTGAGTATGGTTGGCATTGGAAACTGAATCATGAATGCTTGTGCGCCTGCGGCTGAACAATCCCCTTCTTGTACTGGTGCGCATGCTCAGGCTGCTGGATATCACGACCAAGCAGTTGCACCCGGACTGCGACCACAAGCGGCTTGTTTCCACGCTATCGAGCGCGGACTGTGTAGTGATGCAGGTATGAGCCGTGTGGTCAGGCCCTTATAAGGTTGGGATGGAATTTCCATACGCGATAGCCCATGCACTGACACGCCTGCCCATTCTTCCATGCAGGCGCACCAGCTTATCAGGCAGGACAACCTAGTTGACTGTGGCGTCTTCTTGTGCCACTACTTGCGCGGACTCGTAGAGTCAGACTTCTCAACGGTGCTGAAGTATCTGTATTTGGACGGCGTGAGCGGTGGCCAATACCGCCGGCGCATGCGTGCGGATCTGTGCGCGCATGCATCCTGTGAGCTCGTACCTGCGCTGACCACACGGGGGAAGATCGTTCCACCGCAGTATGCACCTCGGACATCGGAAATCGGCGCTGTGAGGGCGTCGGACGAGGTGGACATGAGGAGCCGTCTCGCTCAGTACCAGGTCGAGGTGTACGGACTGCGGAGGGACCATGTCATCTGGGGCGCGGCAGTGACCGCGCTCGGGAACGCCATGGGGTACAGCAGAGATCAGATGCTCGCAGCTGCCGCGTTCGTGGTGAAGATGGACGGAGGGGCTTATCGGAGCATTGAATCGGCGGCATCACCCTCTACGCCGCCTCACCTGCCTTGTGAGCGCACCGGTGGACCCCTCCCCGCCGAACCCTGTGGCGCGCAATCGTGTGCGACGGGAGGTTTCGTGGCACACACGGACCTGGGCGTAATCCATCAGCACCCCCGGCCCCTTCCTCCCTTATCGCGTGTGTCGCCGGCCCATGACAGTCCTGGTGGGCCGAAGACCCCTACCAACGGGAACGGTGAAGTCGCCCCGGGTGTACGTGCGCCGACAGAGGTCCTGCTAGACACGCCTGCAGCGAAAAGGGGGGAGAAGCGACCGCGTGTCGAGGGCGGAAGCTTGGCAGCGGAAGGTACAACAGCCGCTGGTGGTGGGGGGGGAAGTGGTGGGCCCTCACAGTACACCGGGGTGCGGCGAGAAAAGAAGAGGGGGACATGGAGCGCGAAGATATTGGTGAGGGAGCCTGGTCAGGCCAGGCGGACGCAGATGCGGTTGGGGTCATACACACAGGAGCCAGAGGCAGCTTACGCTTACGCCGCAGCTGCTCATGTGTTAAGGCCTGGCGTCGTCATTCCGCGCACGATCCAGTTGACACCAACGGAACAGAGCCTTCTGGCAGGATGCTCCAAAAAGGTCATCAAGCTCCTTGTCAAGAGTCGGATGTGGTTCCGCTGGAGAGAGTGGGAGCAGGCTGTGCTGGACTGCCATGGAAACATGGATAATCCTGAGGCTGAGACCCCAACCGGGTCTGCAGCGGGAGGGGGTGGGGACGAGGTGGAGGAGGAGGGGGGGCAGGACGCTGATGTCGGCATGGACGATGGGCAGGCGGATACTGAACCTGTCAATCATACTGCTGCTGTTGGAGTTTATGGTAATGGGAGTGATGCACAGAATGGAGTTCCAGGGGATGATGGAGTACCAGGGGAGGACGATTTGGTAGGGACTCAATTTGGAGAGTTTGACCCGGCTAGCATTGGCCTGTGATGGATGATGTTGGGAGTGTGTGGTTAGCTGCATGAACTAGAATGTATCATGCGTTGGGTTCGATTGTACCATATTGTTTCCATGAAGGGATTTCCCGACGCCAAGCTCGCTTGTATGATTTTGTTCATGTTGTGTTGCTGTTTTACTAAGCGGTTCCCTAATAGCGAGATGGAATGCACTTAGCGGATACAATGTTGACACCGCACTGGTGTTCGTGATCGGCTCAGTGTATCCTACATGACCATTCGTCTTTACCACTCCGGATTCGGATAGGTGGAGTTGGCACAATCTTAGTGGCGCGTAATCTGGTTATGCTGACGGGGCCAACAAGCACACTTCGGGCTACTCTAAGCGAACACCAAGCATTGGTGTATACCTTTTGGTTTGACTGCATTTTGGACCAGACGGCGGGAGGCGTTCACGGGAGTTCGAACATGGAGACCTCGGATGCGTCGATCGAGCCCCAGCCTGCTTCCAGGTCACAGCGGGTGTCCAAACCTCCGTCGTACCTGCGTAACGCATACCAGCTGACTCAGAAGCGACAGCGCGGGAGGAAAGCGGAGCGGGCGGTTGCAGTGCCAGCCAAGCGCGCAAGGGTTTCCCAGGCGAAGGGGGTTCCTCTTAATGGTAATAGTTGTTCAAGCACGACTGCGAGCATGGCGTATGATTACCATTCGTCTTTTCCCGTCTTAACGTGACCTTGTTCGTTGTGTTTGTGTGCAGCTACAGCATCCGCTGCGCCGGAGACTTCAGTGGCGGAGGCACCTCAGGCAGAGGTGGAGATAAGCATCGGTGCGGGCGATGAGGACATCGAGAGTGAGAGCGAGGCACGCCCGGCGCCGTCCCGGTCGAAGAACTTGGCCTCTGTGATGGCAGAGTCTCAGGCGACTGCCACCACCAGGCCCCGACCTCCGCCCGTGCGCGTGCCGGACAACCCTTTTGTGGCCATGCCTGTAGCTGGGTCGTCTCGTGACCCGTCAGCGCCCGGGGAGGAGACACACATTCTGGTTAGTCGAGCGGAGTTCGAGGCCTTGAAGAAGGCGCAAGAAGCGAGCGCGCGCAACGTGGCCCGTCTTGAAGATGAGTTGCGGTCTGCAAAGGCTGTGCAGGTGCGTGCACCCCCTCGCAGGCCGGACGAGCATGTCTCGGGGAGCGGTGGAGGTTCTGGTCGGAAGCGGAAGCGTCGGAAAGAACTCGTCGATGAGGAGACATCCGACGAGGAGAGCGAGGATGAGCCACCCGCGAAGAGGGGGCATCTGAGGGTGTCCAAGTCACCGGTCCTGCAGCGGACGCTCAATTTTCTGCCTGCAAACAAGGCGTGGAAGGTGGGTTGTGACGAACATCGGTGCCTCCACCATGTGTTAGCTGGCTTTGCACCCCTTCCTACGTGCTTTTCGGGGTATTGACGGCGGATGTGTGTGCTTGGTGGTTTTGAACTGGTGGCAGCGCGCGTGCGACCTGGTGAAAGATTACCTCTTCTTCGAGAAGGAGAACGACCGGATTACGTTCTATCCGAGCAGTGACGACAAGACGGTGGGAGTGTGTGCAGTGATCGAGCGCCTGCCTTTCGACTTCGCGACACTGGCTCTGGCCGCGGACAAGGCAAGACGGCAGGATTTGAACAAGGCCCTTAGCGAGTGGAAGTCGGGCGCAGCAGGAAGGACGCGGGACATCTCGTGTCCACGGATGGGGCTTTTCCACGACGAGCGAGATACGCGCAGCCCATGGGCCACGAAGAAGGACCGTACTCTGGAGGAGATCCGATCGCATTATGGGCTGCTGCTGGGCGTTGACGGTAAGGTGGAGGTCCGTGGATGGAGAGGGAATGTATGCTGGATGTGTCGATCGTGGACTTACGTGAGCGTGTATTTGTGTGCAGATCCCCTGGCATTGTCCAAGTTTGGGAACGATCGGGAGGGGATGCCGTTCGCCTCTGGCGCATTCGTGGCATGCTCGGTAGCGGCATTCAAGCCGAAGAAGGTGGCCGGGCCACTGACGGTGAAGCTTTACCACCTGGCGTGGCTGGAGCATGTGGTACGTGCTTTGTGTTTGTTTGTGCTGTGTGGTCACCCGTCCTCCCGGCGGCTAAGGGGCTGTTTGCGTGTCGCAGGTGACCGACACGCTGGTGAACAAGGAGGCGAGGAAGGCGCGGCTGTCGAACTCTACTTGTGGAAACGCGCAGGAGGTCGATGGGCTCGTGATCCTTGCGCGTGAAGCAGTGTCGAACGCGATCAGAATCTTCAAGCCTAAGTACGACGTGTCCTCGTGCTCGTGGACCTGGGGGCGCCATGGCCTTCGGCTGTCCTCGTGCGGGCTGGAGGACTTAATTCCAGCCGCTGCCGCACCCCGTGATGGGGCGGAGGTTCAGGCGGAAGAGATCTCTGGGTCGCTTGGAGGGCCGTAAATGGTGGGGGCTGAAAGCATGTTTGCCCAGCTAGGGTTTGTCGTCGATTTGTTGCTGTAGTTAGGCTGTCTGTGTTTGTTGTGCTTCGTTTGTATGTGTGTTTCTTTTGTGTCGCCTTGCTGTGTGACAATTACGGATGGGTTGTGCGTTGTTGGACACGGTGCAATCTCACTCAAACACGTAGGAAATGTAGTCACACCACGATTTTCGCGGACGCCGTATCCGCTATCTTAATCACAGAAGTGCGGTGAGTGATGGGTTAGGATACGTGCCTCCGTTTTCATGAGCTCCGCACATTACTGGGGGCGCGCGTCGGGCAGCGACGTACGTAGACCATTCGTGGCACGCACACAGAATCCGCGCTATTGTGGGATGTGGTGGACGCTGTTCGCACATCTGACGTGGCATAGGTATGCAGTGGTTTACCGCATCTCACGCGTCGATGGCGAGGACATCGCACCAATAGGGGGAAGTAGCAGAGCATGTGACCACGTGTCCAAATCCACGCCGTGCGAATGGTGGGCGGCCTATGGAGACACGTGCCGCGTATGCAGCGGGCGGGTGCTTGATGTACTCTATCGTCAGGGATTGGTGCACGAGCTGGTAACACCGGCATAGGTGGCGAGTATGCGTTGGGACGTCAGATTTAACGAAGGTTTGCCGTACGACGGGCGAGGCGGGCCCGCGCGACGTTTTAGTGGGTGACGAAGTGTGTAGTTACATCGTGCGCGGCCACTCACGGTCCGACAGGTGTACGGGCGAGATGCGGGGTGTTCTCGGTGTGGATTTGCGCCGCGTGGCATGGTGGGCGCAAACCGGACGCAGACAGATGTCGCGAGAGTGTTGGGTGGGTATGCGAGCAGTACGCACAGGTGTGGGATAACGAGAGGTCGTATGGTGCGTAGGTGGCGGCACGGAAGTGGGTGGGGAGGTTGGTCCTCTGCATGCAGATTGGTGGGCGAAATGCACGCGCTGGTTGGTAAGTGGGCGACGAGAGTGGGTGTATTCACGCGTTACACCAACGGGGTGCTCACATGTGTACGGCGGGGATCGATGCGTGAAGCCGCATCGATGCAGGCCGCGTGGCAAGGGGGGTACGTACGGTATGCGGCACAAGTACCTTGGTGTACGGTGTCATGTGACACGTGTGACGGGCAACTCTATCGCAGCTTTCTGGCAAGATCGCGGTTGCGGGGAGGTGCCTGAAATGTGACGCAAATGTGGCGAAGGGGTCACTTTTTCGCAACGTGCACACTTGCGGGAATTCCGATGGTTTTGACCTTGACTGGAAAACATCGGGGCGGGGTATCCAGAAAGTCACTTTTCCGCAGTTTTCCGGGCACATTTCTGCAATACCTTTTCCGCGATGGCGGAGACTGACCAGCGAGCTCCACTCGGGACGGATGGTCCCTGTGAACTGGTTGTGGCTCAGGTCGAGGTGCGATAATTTCGTGCTGCTGGCTATGAGCGTCGGCAGCGAGCCGCGCAATTCGTTCCAGGAAATGTCCAGGAGGGTCAGCTTGGTTGAGGCCGCGCCCGCCGGGAAGCTCCCCGCTAGGGAGTTGTGGCGCAAACGCGCTTCGACGAGACGCGGGAGACTGAGTAGCGAGGACGGGAGGGAGCCAGAGAGGGCGTTGTATCCGACGTCCAGGAACGTGAGCGCCGTCAGCAGCGTCAAGGAGTCCGGAATGCTGCCGGTCAGCTGGTTGGTGCCGGCCGCCAGGTGCATAATGCTGGGCAGCTTGAGCCCGAGCTCTGACGACAGTTCGCCGGTGAAAAGATTATCGGAAATGTCGAGGAAGGTGAGGCGGCTCATGGACAGAATCGTGTTGGGCGTTTCTGTATATACAATGCGATTCGCGCGCAGGTTGAGGTACTGGAGTTCCGAAAGAAGGCTAAATCCCGAAGGAATGTCGCCTGTCAAGCCGTTGTACGAGAGGTCGAGGTGCTTGAGTAGCGGCGACCAGAACGGCATCTCTGTGGGCAGGTCCCCTCTGAGGTTCGTGTTGGAAAGGTCAAGAAACTCGAGCTTCGGCATGGCGAGCATATCCTTGGGAAGTGACCCTTCCAAGTGGTGGTTGTTGCGGAGGCGCAGCAGCGTGAGCCTTGTAAGCTTGCTGAAGATCGAGGGGAGACTGCCGGTGAAGTCGTTGCACGACAGGTCGATAGACATGACCTCGGTGAGGTCCCCGAGGCTCATGGCGGCGTCAAATGAGCCTTGCATCGTGGGAGTTGGGAACCACGACACCCGGTTGTCTTGGTCGCAATGAATGCCCTCCCACGCGGAGCAGTGGGAGGTTGCGGGATCCCATGACGTGAGGAAAGTTGCGCCCATGACGCTTTTGAAGGCGAGGAGAGCCATCGCGTCGGGATGCAGGCAGTGCACGATGCGAAGGAGCAACGTAAGGAGCGCCGCTGCCAGCAGCAGCGGGCGGTCTTGGAACGTAGTTGACGCGACCATGTCTTTTTTTCGGTCTCTGAGCAGTGCCTCGATGATGATGGCGTGAGCGTTTGTCCTGTGTCCGTGTGTGTATGATGATTGGCAAGAGTAATTGTGGCTGGTTTCGATCGCTGGCTGATTGTTGGCCGTTCGACGTCTCCAAGGAATAAATTGCGGGTCAAATATCGACTAATTTGCGTGTATGAGAGTAACTGGATTGCGTTCAGAACGACGAGGTGTTCTCGTGTGGAAAATGGTACGAACGTGGATGTGTGAAGACTCTGATTTGAGGTGAGATCACACCTTGGTTTCGGAGGAGGGATTGGATTCCTCACTGCTGGAGAATGTTGGGAGGCCGCAAAAGAACCCTATCGGCATCGAGGCGCGCACCAAGAATCCAGCGCGACGCGGAAGCAACGAACGGTTGTATACGAATTCGTCATGTCAACAGAGTAACCGCACACTTCCAGATGTGCTTGTGGTGGAATGTAGGGCAGGGGAAAATACTCGATGGGCTGTAATGAGAATTTATTAAATTCCTGTTGGTAAACTCTCGAAATTTGGTTTTGTGGAGGAAACCATGGGTTTGGGGGTCAACAGGTGGCAATAATATGTCCATTTCCCGAATTTCGGGCACCATTTTGTTCCCAATTATATACACACGGGTGACGTCATCACATGCCGCCCCGCCCGCCCTGGCACAAAGGGAATTGAGGCAAAACGAAAAACCCGCGGAATCCCTCTGGGCCTCCGAAAATTCCCGGCTGACCAGGCCAAAAAACCCTCCGAAACCCGCGGGTTCAATGTCGTATTCTTATGACAATATATATGTCAGCCGTAACAGTGGAAATTGAGGGACATTTGTCGAACAGTGCTCGACGGACATTGGCCAATCGCCGTCGAGCACCGTGCACCCCCGACAACACTGGTTACACCCGGTGGCAAGTCGCCAGGGAATCGCCTACACGGTGGCGCTGACGGTCGACGGTTGCGAAACGTGTTTCGCAACCGGCCGACGGTCGCAATCGACGGAGACGTCAACTGCGGCCGACCTGTCGCCTCATCGGTCGAGCGAACTGTCGCTGTCGGATGGGCGACGGGTTACGTCTGTCGCAATCAAACGGTCACGTCAACTGCTGACTGCCACGTCAAATGTCTCAGTCTCCACGGGGAGCAACATCAGCCCAAGGTCGCTGTATAAACCTGAATCCATAATAGAAGCACCACAGTTTTCTCAGCAGGCCAGGATTTAGGGAGAAATGGTAGCTTTCGGTGGGCACTGATGGAGACCGATCCGTCGACGACAGCGCCTTCCCGGCAGGCGGACGTAGGACGGATACCTGTCGAATTGGAGTCCATCTCGACACCACCCCCTTCGACGTCTGGAGCCAGGCCGGTTTCTTCCGCGCCCCCTTCGACGACGCGTGCCATACCGGAGGTGGCAGCGCCCACCTCGACGTCGCGAGCCATACCGGTAGTAATACAGCCGGTTGTTACGGACCAGCGTTCGACATGTATTCCGGTCACTGTTGAAGTGGGTGGTGCACAGACCGAATTCCCTTCGACAGGTCAATCCATACCTGTTGTCGTAGAACCGATCTCGACAACAAATGCCCCCTTTACACACGAGGCTCCAGCTCACCGTGCACCATCGTCGACAGCCCACCGCTCGACGGAACCTTCGGCTGGTGCACCGACCTCGACAGGTGGGCGACGTAGGAGAGCGAGGGTTGTTCCGCCTGAGGTTCGACAACCACCCCCAGCCGGCACATCCGCTTCTCGAGCCACCCCGCCGCTCCTAGGCGCACTTCGACGAGACCAAGCAGAGAGGACTTAGCCAGGAACGTCCCTGCAGCGACGGACGATGAGGATGATCGGACGGGAGAACAGCAGGAGGCGGACGATGTCGAACCGCCGGACCCTCTGCGGCCTGCTGCGGCAAATATATTAGAGGAGGATGCCGCGCACATTCTCGGCGACCAACCGGGCGCAGACAATCCGTACTTGGCGACGGGAACACTTAAGAGCAGGATTCTCCGTTGTGAGGTTCCGCTGCTGGGAGTTGACCAGGATTCCACACGGCCGAACTATGTCTCTGGAAGCATGCACTACAAAGCTTGGGCCTGTAAAACTCTGGCACCCGAGAGAAGCAACGGAGTGCCTAAAGAGGAGCAGGTGATCCACGAGGACGAGATCGGTAGGGAGATCGGCGACGATATGGGGCCGAGATGGAGGGAGGCGCTGCGTAACGAGGAGCACCTGCATGGGCCGAAAATAACGAAATGGCGCTTGCGCGCGTACGTCGAATACATGTCGACTGAAACCGACCAACAGGCGGCATCGTTGGATACGGGCCGGACCAGAGTCGCTGGAAGGAAGGCGAAAAAAAGCACCCCTCCGATGATGCTGGCGCGCCTTACTGCGCTGACGTGCTTCTGCAGAGTAGAGGCCATACTCTTCGACGAGCCACTAACGAAACCCTTGGACGACATCACCGAGGCCCGGCAGCTTCTTGCGGTCAAGCTGCGGCAGCTGCACGACTTTCAGTTCGAGTAAGTAGGCTGCCATACACCGGACTCTAAAACTTTTCACTCAAATTCTCACCCCTTACTCGCTGTATCTGCCCACTCAATGCAGGCAGTGCGTCGATCCACACCGGGGCTCGCTCGACGATGTTTACACGGTGGAGCAGTTCCGCATTCTCGTTTCAGACATCCTGCCGTACTGGGCCAAGGAGTACTTTCGGGAGTCGATGGGTTACACCAGTCAGTCGCTGTGGAGGGCCTTGGCCGTGAGGGTGATGATCCTGATGGCGCATCACATGCTGGGCAGGGGGATAAGCATCCGCGAGATCCGCTACTGCAATATGTTCACTCACGTCCTTCCGCCCATCACGAACAGCAAGGGGGAATCGTCGATCCACGTTCTCGTGGTCGCCTATCGCAACTCGAAGACCATCAAAGACAACAAGCTCGGCCACCTGTACCTGACTCGACACATGGACTTCCGGCAGTGCGGCTTCGGAGCAGTGTTCATGTGGATACATTTCCTTTTCGACCTTGTGCCGCTCCACTACAACAACGATAAGATCGTGCCCCCCTTGGATTTCAGCAACCCGGAAAAGTGGTCGAAGAAGCACCTGTTCTTCGCCCTCTTCGACAAGGACAAGACCGAGTTGCCGTACGCGACTCATGCCAAATGGATTACCTGGGCGATGAAAAGCGCGGAGTGGATCCTGTCGAAAGTCACACACATCTTTCGACGGTCTGCGGCACAGATCCTCGCTGACAAAAACTGTGAACTCGACAACATCGCGCAGCTGGGTCAATGGGACATGAACGAGATGCGCAAGTCATACGTCACATGCATCCCGCGCGAGGCCATCCAGCTGCAAGCGGGTTTCACGACGGAACCGGGTGACTATTACCTTGGAAGATCGAAGAGCGAAGTACCCGCGAAGGTCCTGAAGGCTATCGAGGAGCACATATTTCCAAAGGCGGAGCAGTGGCTCGACGAGGTATGGATGCGTCGAGCGCTTAGCGTGATCATCGAATGCAAATTTTGCCCGTCTATCTCTCAATGTCACCACGTTTGTTCTTGTTCAGGCGATGGAATGGAACAACGAGCAGGACAAGGAGCATATGTTCTTCTCAGCGAAAAGTTTCTTGAAGGCCCTGCAAGCCGCCCGAATGCCCATCGCCGAGGATCTTGTGATGTACTACGTCCATTGTGACGACCACCCCTTCGACGGAGTGACTGTTTGCGACTGCGAGCGTCACCCTTATGCACAGATGTCCGGTTTGTGCAAGGACATGGATTTCCAAAAATGGGCGCTTGACGTGTACCTGCTCGACAAGTACGGCATTGAGATGCGGACCAACCCCATGCTGTCGAGAGCTTCGGTAAGATGGCCCTTCCAAATCTTAATCCGAACAGATTACATCAGCCCACTTACCTACCGCTCGTGATCTTGTGCGCAGGACGCATCCTTTCAACTCAACACCAAGCACCTCATCACGCAACTTCGGGCCGAGGTTAACTTATACAAGGAGGAGGGTGGGAAAAAAGAAATCAAGATCAAGCACCTCGAGCAGAAGGTCGAGTCATTGGAGCGGGAGAAGGGCGCGATGCAAGCGGAGTTGGAGGCGAAGGCAGAAGCACTCGCGCTACTGCAGAAAGCGTTCGACGCACTGAAGATTACCGCCGCGACAACCGCAGCTGCGAATGTGGGGGGGAGCGAGAGTGTGCCGCAGACGGCGACCGAAGAAACCACCCCGCCACCACAGCAAGCCCCACAATCAACGCCCACTCAACAGAGCAAGGGCAGCCAGCTCGACCAAGCATTCTTCGACGCAGTGGTGTGGCCGTGGTGCAATTGCGAGACCGTGCGGCAGGCGTGGTCGTACTGGGATGGGCCTGTCACAATAGTAGCTAGAACAAAGGAGCCATAGCTAGGTAAGCCCTAGCTAGGCAAGAGAAGTTTAGGCAAAAGAGAGAAAGGTTCACTAGCAGCAATGAGGATACATATAGCAAACCCTAGATGGGTTGTACTCGCTATAGAGCACCCCACTACAGGCTAGAGAATAATATTCTGACACACCCCCATAGCCAAAGTGGGGTGTAATCAGTACAATGAGCAAGCAGGTATAGAGCAGGAGTTCACAAAGGTAAGCAAAGCTAGAGCTAATCACAGAGGGCAAGTGAGGAGGAGGAGAGACTGTGGAGGGAGAGAAGATGGGAGGCAACGACTGAAGCTGCAGAGGCACGGGCACAGGAGCGGCTGACTCAGTGGCTACCAAAGCAAGGGCGACGGACTACTGGAGTGACTGGCTCCGCGGCTATAGACGAGCGGCAGGAGCAACGGACCCACTGGCGACTGGTGCAACAGGCTCACTGGCTACCGAAGCAAGGGCGACGGACTACAGGTGCTGCAGGCGACACGACAGCTACCTTCACACAACCTCCTCCAACTGCCCCACTCCCCTCTCACACACCCCCTGTTCAAACCCTAGCTCCACTCC